CTGGAGAGGGACAGGGCCGGCGGTGCGCTGGAGAGGGACAGGGCCGGTGTTGAGCTGCAGCGAGAGGTGCTGTGGGTTGCGTACATGCTGAACCTGGCCTCTGCTCTGAGGCTCATTCCATTGGACCTTCTGTTACCTTCTTCACGTACCTGCTGTTTCTCCAGAAAAATTGTAATAAATTCCTTTCAAAAACATTACAAAAGCAATAGATGCTCGTTGAAAATAGTTCAAATGATACGGAAGACAGAAAGAAAGTGCTTTTTTTTTTTGTCTATTTGCATGAATGTGTCTTTGGGGTAGTCACTATTAACATTGGGTGTATTTGCACATAAAAATATATTTTTATGTTTTTTTTTTTTAAACAAAGTAGTACCTGATAAACATTGAGCCCGCCTGCCCCCACTCAGCAGCCTACATGGGCATCCTTTCATGATGTTGCAATGAGATCTGATTGACTCCTTTTGCTCACTGGAGTGCCAGCTAAAGTCACTTTCAATCGGCATGTAACGTGCTAGTGCCTGTGGACCAGGCAGGCTGAAGGAAGTGGGTCCTAAGACTTTTTACAGCAGTGCTATGGGCGAATACAGTAATTGTTAACATTTTGCAAATGATAGAATTGCAGTAGAGAGAAGCAAAGCTGCTTGCTCAAACTCACGGCACGATTCCCAAGAGAGAGACCACTTTTAAACAATTCTTGTTATAGTCAAGTGATTTACGATCATTTCAAGAACTAGTGCATTCAGTGAGTACATGGAGTGTCCGGTGCTGTCTGGGAGCTGTTCCTGAGGATGCACAGGGCTAGAGGTAAAGGGGGCAGTCAAAAGGCCCCGGTCCCCTAGTGCAAGAAGGGAGGTCCTGGGGGAGGGGGCACGGGGAGGAAGTCTCTAGACAAACTTGTGACATCCATTTCTGCTGAATCTGGTCCGAGGTCTGCTTCTTGACATGTACGCTTTTCAGAGATACTTAGTTTTGATTTTGATCATGGCTCACCTGAGCAACCATGGTTTCAAACTGCCTGGAGTTGTGGTCTGGAAGGCCAGTGCTATGCCCACCCTTCTCACTTCTGCAGGAGGGGAGTCCTCCTGGGACTGGAGGGCTTCGCCTGTGACCAGCTCTCATAGTAAGTGGATTTGATGCTGGTTTCGCTAGGTCAGGAAATTTCCCATTTGGAAGGAAAATTTATACTTGTTTTTGGATTTTGCTGAGGAGCCACAGGGTTTAGAACAGGGGCTGGAGGTTTGTTGGTTGAGACACATGTGAGTGCAATCAAACAGCTTCCATGAAACATGGAAATAAAGACGGTGTTCCAGAGAGGTCCCTGGCTTTGGGATATAAATATTTCTGTAAGAATGGCATTGGATGTCTGCTGTATTTTTTTCTGTGCTATTTTGGCAAGTTTTATTTGGGTATGTGTCGCCTGCACAGAAGGCATGACATCAGTTTTTGCCACCAAGTATTTATAGCAGTTGGTACCTCCTATGTGGGTCACTTTTATGCCACGGTTCCTTTGGGGAAATTGTCTGTGGGTCACCTACCCAAAGCACTTTGCCCATTTCAAGGTGCTACTAGTTTCTGAACACCTGCGGCAATGCCTTCCAGGTGGATGAAGCCAGCCAGGGAAGTGCCCCTCCCTAGCAGGTAGGGACTGGTGTTTGCCCAGGTGAGGGGGCTGCGGATGGGCCCTGGACTGGAACTTAGGACTGGCTGCTTTTCCTTCCCTTCCCCTCCCTCCTATTTTCTCACCACTCCCACTTTAAAAAAATTTCTTATTAAAAATCAAGCAATTATTTTGGTTTCCTTAATTCGCTGTCCCTTGCTAATTATATGTAGAGTGAGCCTGGGAAAGTGAACAAGCAAGTTGTACTTAGTTTCAAATGATCACACCAGCTACCCACCTCGAGGGGCCTGCCGTGGGGCCACATTGTGAAGTGGCTTTGCGGACGTTCTCCTTGGTCCTCAGCGTTAAACAGCAGAGGCAGGTGGTACTTCTCCCTGGCTAATGTTGAGGAAGTTTAGCTTAGTGTTTAAGGTAAGGCAGGTTGAATCAGGCAGATTGTCTGATTCCAAATGGGCTCTTTTAACTTTTGGAGGCCAAAAAACTCAACAGACACAGATATTTCTTTTTCCTTCTTTGTTTTGTTTCTTGAGATAGGGTTTTGCTGTGTTGCCTAGGCTGGTCTACGCTCAAGCAGTCCTCCTGCCTTAGCCTTCTGAGTAGCTGGGCTTACAGGTTTGTGTTGCCATGCCCAGCTGAACAAACGTTTCTTGAAATAAGACATATGGCCAGGCGTGGTGGCTCACGCCTGTAATCCCAGCACTTTGGGAGGCCGTGGTGACAGATCACCTCAGCTCTGGAGTTCAAGACCAGCCTGACCAACATGGTGAAACCCCATCTCTATTAAAAACATAAAATTAGCCCAGCATGGTGGTACATGCCTATAATCCCAGCTACTTCGGAGGCTGAGGCAAGGAGAATTGCTTGAATCCAGGAGGCAGAGGTTGCAGTGAGCCAAGTTTGTGTCACTGCACTCCAGCCTGGGCAACAAGAGTGAAACTCCATCTCAAAAAAAAAAAAAAAAAAAACAAGACTTACAAATGGCCAAAGAAATAAAAAATATATGAAAAAAATGTTCAGTATCACTAATCGTCAGAGAAATGCAAATCAGAACCACATTGAGGTGTTACCTCACCGGTTAGGATGGGTATGATCAAAAAGACAAATACTAACAAGGGCCAGTGAGGATCTGGAGGAAGGGAGCTCTTACCCACCGTGAGGGGGAACGCAGACGAGTGCGGCTGGCCGGCGCAGGGCGCACGCTGCCATCCCAGCACTTTGGGAGGCCGAGGCAAGGCATATATCTAAGGTCAGGAGTTCAAGACCAGCCTGGCTAACACAGTGAAACCCCGTCTCTACTAAAAGTACAAAAATTAGCCAGACGTGGTGGCTCATCACGCCTGTAATCCCAGCACTTTGGGAGGCTGACGTTGGTAGATAAGTTGAGGTCAGGAGTTCATGACCAGCCTGGCCAACATGGTAAAATCCCATCTCTATTAAAAAATACAAAAATTTGGGCTGGGTGCAGTGGCTCATGCCTGTTATCCCAGCACTTTGGGAAGCCCAGGCAGGTGGATCACGAGGTCCAGAGATTGAGACTATCCTGGCTAACACAGTGAAACCCCATCTCTACTAAAAATACAAAAAATTAGCCTGGCGTGGTGGCACGTACCTGTAGTCCCAGCTACTCAGGAGGCTGAGGCAGGAGAATTGCTTGAACCCGGGAGGCGGAGGTTGCAGTGAGTGGAGATCGCGCCACCGCACTCCAGCCTGGGCGACAGAGGGAGACTCCATCTCAAAAAAAAAAAAAAAAAAATTGCCAGGTGTGGTGGCAGGTGCCTGTAATCCCAGCTACTCAGAAGGCCCAGGTATGAGAATCACTGGAAGATGGGAGGTAGAGGCTGCAGTGAGTGAGCTAAGATCGTGCCACTGCACTCCAGCCTGGCAACAGTGTGACTCTGTCTCAAAAAAAAAAAAAAAAAGAATGAGAGTAAGTTAGTGCCGTCACTGTGGAAGACAGTGTGGAGGCTCCTCAGAAAACTGCAAATGAAACTACTGTGTGATCCAGCAGTCCCACTACTGTGCAGAGACCCAAAGAAAAGGAAATCAGTGTCGGAGGGGTATCTGCACCTCTGTTTCCTGCAGCACTGTTCACCATAACCAAGATTTGGAATCAGCCTTGGTGTCCAACAGCAGATGAATGGAGAGAGAAAATGTGGTCTGTATACTGGAGTACTATTTAGCCACAACAAAGAATGAAGGCCGGTCGTTCTCGGCAACATGATGGAACTGGAGGCCATTATGTGAAATAAGCCAGGGACAGAAAGTTAAACACCACAAACCAAATAAAAAAGAATCTCATAGAAGTTAAAAGTAGAACAGAGGATACTAGAGGGTGAGAAGGGTAGAGGGAGGAGGAGGATAGGGAGAAATTTGTTGAAGGATACAAAATTATAGCTAGATAGGAATAAGTTCGAGTGCTCGCTAACACAGTGAGGTTGACTATAGTTAACAAGAATATATAGTTTCAGACTGGGTGTGCGTGACTCATGCCTGTAATTTTAGCATTTTGGGAGGCCAAGGTGGGTGGATCACCTGAAGTCAGGAGTTTGAGACCAGCCTGGCTAACATGGTGAAACCCTGTCTCTACTAAAAATACAAAAATTAGCCAGGCGGCCTGTGCCTGCACCAGCTAGCAGGGAGGCTGAGGCAGGAGAATCGCTTGAATCTGGGAAGCAGAGGTTGCAGTGGATGGAGCTGAGATTGCACCATCGCGCTCCAGCCTGGGTGTTAGAGCGTGACTTCGTCTCAAAAAAAAAAACAAAAAAACGAAAAAACAAGAAAGAATATGTAGTTTCAGATAACTGGAGGAAGGGTATTGAACTTAACCAATGCAGTACACAAAAACATGATAAATGTTTGAGATAGTGGATATGCTAATTACTCTGGTTTGATCACGTACATTGCATGTATTATAACATCACTATATGTACCCCATACATACGTACAATATGCAGTTATGCGTCAATTAAAAAAGAAAAAGCTGAACTTAGATAGGAATGGCTGTGAAGTAGCTAGCTTTTTCATATCTTTGAAATAGACCTTAGGCATTTAGTTTAACTCAACTACCCTTGCCTTCAGGAATGCGTACTATTGGAATTTTAACCTTGTATTTTATGATATAGAGAAGTAAAACTTTAGGCTTGCTTTAGATACAGTCACAGGGGTTTGCAATGATGACTTTTTTTTTGTTTGTTTTTTTTTTTTTTTTGAGACGGAGTTTCACTCTTGTTACCCAGGCTGGAGTGCAATGGCGCGATCTCGGCTCACCGCAACCTCCGCCTCCTGGGTTCAAGCAATTCTCCTGCCTCAGCCTCCTGAGTAGCTGGGATTACAGGCACGTGCCACCATGCCCAGCTAATTTTTGTATTTTTAGTAGAGACGGGGTTTCACCATGTTGACCAGGATTGTCTCTATCTCTTGACCTTGTGATCCACCCGCCTCGGCCTCCCAAAGTGCTGGGATTACAGGCTTGAGCCACCGCGGACTTTTTTTTTTTTTTTACTGTAATAAGTGTGAAATATACCGAAACAGGCACACATGCTCATTGTTCTAATTACGCATTTTCCGTTGTTGTCCAGGCATTGTGTTGCTTATGTAAACAGTATGTGGTATCTTAGGTAGGAATCAGAGTTTTAAGGTCAGAATACTTAGAGCTATATATCTTTCAGACTTTCAAACTGGACATTTTACTTGTCCATTACATAATTGTAGTTCAAGTTTCACAAAGACAATACCTGTCTTTAATATGGGTGACACGCTGGCATTTTTTTTTTTTTTTTTGACACAGGGTTTCACTCTGTCACCCCGGCTGGGCTGGAGTGCAGTGATGCAGTCATGGCTCACCGCAGCGTCAACCTCATAGGCTCAAGAGATCCTCCCACCTCAGCCTCCTGAGTAGCTGGGACCACAGGTGTGCAACACCATGCCCAGCTAATTTTTAAAATTTTGTGCAGGTTGCTCAGGTTGTTCTGGAATTCCTGGGTTCAAGTGATTCTCCTGCTTCATTCTCCCAAAGTGCTGTGATTACAGGCATGTACAAGTAACGCCTGGCCCCAAATAAGTAGGATGATGACTTGAGCCTAGGCGTTCCAGACCAGCCTGGGTAACATGGCACAAGATCCTGTCTGTACAGAAACTAAAAAAATTGACTTGGCATGTTGGTACCTGCCTGTGGTTCCAGCTACTCTGGGAGGCTGAAGCGGGAGGATGGCTTGAGCCCAAGAGTAGAGGCTATAGTGAGCTGTGATCTTGTGATTGCATTCCAGCCTGGGTGACACAGTGAGACCTTGTCTCTTAAAAAAAAATGCTGGCCACACCTGACTATTCATAGACAAAAAACTGAACTCTGATCTAAATCTCATACCTCATTCAAAAATTAACTCAAAATGAATCATGGACTAAAATGTAAAATCCAAAATAAAGAGGAAAAGAGGAGCTATAGACTGGGAGAAACTATTTGCAAACCACATGCCTGATGAAGACTTATATCTATAATATATAAAGAACTACCAAAACTCTCCAGTAAAACCAATCCATCTAGTTTGAAAACTAGTAAAAGACACGAAGAGACATTTCAGACGACATAAAAGCACATGAAAAGGTGTTCAACATCATTAGCTACTAGAAAAATGCACCCACATCACCATACATCTACCAGAATGGCTAAAATAAAAGGTAGTAACAAAACCAAATGCCGGTGAGGATGCAGGGAAACTGGACCACTCACACTTGGTGGGTGGGAATGGAAGATGGTGCAGCCATTCTGGAAAACATTTTGACAGTTTCTTAAAAAACGAAATGTGCAACTGCTATAGGACGCAGCATTCACATTCTTGGGCAGTTATACCACAGAAATGAAGACTTACGTTCACACCAAACCTATATGTATCTGTTCATAGCAGCATGACTTATAAAGGCTAGAAACTGGAGAAAACCTGGACACCACTCAGCAGGTGAATGGATCAACGTGTGGTGCACCCGGGCCGCAGATGCCACTCTGCAGTAGTTAATGACACCCTTGTTTATCAGTCTTTCAAAATAGAAACCACCGTCCTGCTTAATCCCCTTCTTTCCATCCTGCATCTGAGTGGACTTCATTTTGCATTTTTTTCAAATGCACTTTCCCTGTGTCCTCTCTGGTTGCGCCTCACGTGCGTTTGAACTGTTGTGAGAGCCACCGCGTTGTTTCTCTGCCTCCTAGACTCCTTTCTGCACTTCATTCCTGCATCGCCATCAGAACAGTCTTTCCAAAACACGAGCAAACTAACTCAAAAGAAATAGCCCAGGTGTCCCTCCCACTAAGTGTAAGCTTTCTGTTAGAAGCTTTACTCCTTGTCTGTGGGGTACTCCAGGACTCTAGAGAGACGGATTTGCTGTCCGCATTTTAAGATGAGGCAGAAATCCCTGGCGGGCCTGCGCGGAGTAGTGGCGTAAGTACGGCTTCTAGAATCAGACGTCTTCATGTCCTGCTTCTCATACTAACTGGAAGTCCTTGGGAAAATTTTGGTTTCATAAACTCAGAAACTCCGTTTCTTACAAAGTGGAGATGAGGAAGCATACTCAGCGGATCACACAGGCTAGGAGGAGCGGATGGGGCATGGTGAAAATGCTGTGCAATCCATAAAGCATGACATATGTGTGAGAAGTGGAGCTGTGTGAATAGCAGTTCTGGAATAATTGCATGAAAACATTAAAAAGCACATTCGTAGTTCTGCCCAGTGACACCACTGGGCGCCTGTGTTGTACATGACTGCGACATGGGTGAGGCCCGGGTCAGTACAGCTCACAGTTTGGTTTCCATGCAGTTAGAAAGGCCGGAGAGGACCCTTCCCCCTCCAGCTGTAGGAAGGAGGCGGCTGTGTCCTGCCTATATTTGGTGGGATTGTCTCTGGCTCCTTAGGGACAGGAATGCAGGGAGTGGGGGAAGAAAGCCGTCCTCACTGCTCGCTAGGCAGCCTCCCTCAGGGAGGGGTGGAGGGGTGACTTGCCAAGTCTTTCTTAACCCATCTGCTCACAGAAATGACCAGCATGACAAGTAAAAGATCTGTTAGAGACAGATGGGCCGTGTTAGTCCACTGCGTTTATGGTTTTTGTGGCCTCAGAGCTGCCAGGACTTGATCACTTTCTGGGGAATGCTGGGTCAGCCAAGGGACTGAAAAGTGAGAGAAAGAACATGCACTCCTTGGTGCTCTGGTCTGGGAGTGATTACCGAGGAGGGCGGCACGGAGGGCACACTGTGGGGTCCTCCTCAAGCACGCCCTCACCACAGTGTGACCACATGTCTCAGCCTCCCCAGGCCTCCATGATTCCCGTCTGTCACATTCTCACCTCCAGCAGAGATTTCTGTGATGACGACATGAGAGAGCATCATAGCACGCGTGGCCACTTCGTAGGCCTGCAGTGAGTGGACGCCGGATCAGGCAGAACAGGAGACAGGGCGCTGCACGTGGACGCACTCACGTGCCCGTGGCCCGGTGAATGGAGGGGCACGCTCTGCATGTCTCCTTTTGGTTTGTTCCCTCCACCGTTGTGATCAGAAGTTGTGTGTTCTGCTGCCCCAGTCAACTTGGCAGGCCGATTGCTCAATTTTCTGCATTCACTTTTGATTTCTTAAGATGGGAAAAGGAATACTTCAGTTACTTTTCTGGTCGATGGTGTAAATTCCTTGATATCACCTTATTATATTTTTATTTCTATGTATTTTGGATTCTGGGGCTTGCCTAACATCTGTGTTTTTATGCCTCACCCTCTCGGGTGACTGTTGGCCACACCAAGAGCAGACAGAAGTGACCGGGCCGGTTGGTAGCAGGGCTAGCACCGGAATTCCCCAGCCTTCTGACTCCCAGCAGGCTCTGTTTTCTGCATGGCGTGCTCTTCCCTGTTTCTACCCCTGTTAGGACAGTGGATGTGAAATGAAGCTGGGTGCTTTTGAGGGTGTACTAGGAGTGTGGCAGATGCCTCACACTGGCATTTTCCCCTGATTTTCAATTCTCATGGCTCAGAGTTAGTCCCTGGGCTACTGAACGAGAAGATACAGGAAGTTGTTTTGTATGGCAGCCTATACCAGAGTGTTTTTTTCGCCCAGCAACTTAATTTGGTTTGGACTAGAATAAATCTCTGATATTGGTTTCTTCGCCCTAAAGGCAGAGGGAACTCTCAACTCTTTTCAGGGAGTGGAGCCTGACTTGTCTTACTCAGCTCGATCGGTCGTGCTTAGAATCTCAAGTGTGTGATGAACCAAGCCGAAGTGTGAGAGCGTCTTGGACAGTGGTTTGCAACCCGAGCTGCGTCTGCGGGGCTGTGAGAAAAGCATGCATGCTTACTCCAGACCAGTTGAAATAGAACCTGCAGGAATGGAGCCGGGGCAGCTGTAGCTCTGTTAAAAACCCCCAGATGGTTCTGATATACAGTAAAGGTTGAGATCTCCTGGTCCACGGTGAATTGGAGTCCGGGATCCTAGACATGCCTTATGGTTTCACCAGCTTCGAATGGCACTTGTGCTTTGGAACCATGAAAAAAATATGCAAACAAATGTGGAAATTGCCTAAGTGCCGCCTCCTGTTACTACCTGCTGTGAAGTATATTTACCAGTTAGTCACTCTATTCTGATCTCTACCCAGTCCATCTTTCTTTTCTTCGTGGAATAATTGACAATTGGTTATGCAGAACCAGTTAGTCTAGTTTGATTGGCAGGACATGATTTTGGGTATGAAGTCCTCTTTAGGCATTTATTGAACTCTTGTTCATACCCCTGCTGTGCAGGACAGTGTATGAATAGTACTTCTTTAAGCAAGAGCTGTGGAGTCAGGCTGCCTAGGTTTTGCTAACTAGCTGTGTAATTTTGGGCAAGTTTTTAAGCTTATATACACCTGATTTTCATCTACAAAATGGGACGACAACGGGTCACTGTCATCTCACAGGATTGTGCAAATGTGTGTGTAAAGTGCTTAGCTTGGCACCTAGCACATAGTAACTGCTCAGTAATTGTTGACATCATCATCATCATCATATTTAAATGTAAATATTAAGAGCTAATGAATTTGTAAAAGGTAGTGTATCCTTACCCCTCGGACCAAGGACTACTTTAGTTTTAAGTGGTTGGGTTAATTTACCACTTAAATATTGGCCTCTTGGATACCTTGAATTTCAGTTGAATGTACCAAAGGATTTTACTGGACCATTGCCTCTAGAGCTTGGAGCTTGGTTTGTTCGTTTGGTTTCATTTCCTGCACTAAGCACGTGGCTGTGCGCACCTTTATGGTGACTTCCGGTACTGGAATCAAAGCTTCATTAGCATCTTTGGAGGAGAGGATCTTCTGCTATACGAAGCACTCAGATTGTGTGAACTATGTACCATCCAGACAAGACCAGGTGCTTCCCATGGCAGCCTGGCCTTTTCTTAGCCCTCTCATCAGTCTGTTCTGTTCCTTCGATTCCTCTTTATACTAATACTTCCTTTTGAACAAGTAGTGTTGTTTTGTCACTGCTGGGTCCCCAGCAATAAGTAATACCTAGCATTTATTAGGCACCTACTAAATATTAATAGATGGTAATCTAACAGCACACAAGATAAATCCACGAGTCGACATTTAAGCTGTGTGGTAAGAAAGTGGTGTTGGCAAGCTTATTAAATCAGAGTTGTTAATACAAGTTTAAAATCTGTTAGTAACTGACTTAGTTCAGTAATCATTTACTGAGTGTCTTCTAGGCTAGACACTGGGGACAGAAAGGTAATCATATATGATCCCTGCCTCATGAACATGAAGTCTATATAGTGAGATAGACAGACATGCACCAATGGCTGCTTGGAATATGGTGAGTATGAAGATAAAGGGCAGCCTGTGTGCACTTGGAGCACAGAGCAGGGCTGCTGTTCTGGGAACATGGGCTCCACGTGAAAAACACAATTTAAATTACTTTTTTTTTTTTGAGACAGAGTCTCACTCTGTTGCCCAGGCTGGAGTGCAGTGGTGTTGATCTCGGCTCACTGCAATCTCCTCCCGCCGGGTTTAAGTGATTCTCATACCTCAGCCTCCCAAATAGCTGGGATTACAGGTGTTTGCCACCACGCCTGGATAAGTTTTGCATTTTTAGTAGAGACGGGGTTTCACCGTGTTGGCTGGGCTGGTCTTGAACTCCTGACATCAGGTGATACTCCTGCCTCAGCCTTCCAAAGTGCTGGGATTATAGGTATGAGCCACCCCGCCTGGTCTA